GGTAGCGACGCCGGCAGGCCGGGAGGGACGGGGGTCCAGCACGTCTCTCCCCGCCCCCAGTCCATGGACACGGAAGCAGAGCTGCAGTTTCGCCCGCGGATGGGGAAGGCGGCCTCAGCCCCTCTCTTGCCAGAAGTGGAGACCTACCTCCAGCTGCTTCTCGTCATCTACCTGATGAACAGCAAGCGATACCCGGAGGTGAGGTTCCCTGAGCTGCCGGCTCTGAAGCCGAGCTCTTCGTGTGGTGCTCCTGCGCCAGGCAGGGTCTGGAGAGCCTCGGGGACCTGCCTCCCCGTGGCCCCACGCTTTCCCCTTTGTTTCAGCTGTGTTTGGAGGCAGCCCCCGGGCTCAGTCCCGCGGCCCTGGCAGTCTCTTTGCTCTTCCCGGCCAGCGGTTCCTCTCCTCTGACCTCTGTTCCCCTCCTGCAGGCTCAGAAAGTGTCCGACGACCTGATGCAGAAGATCAGTTCCCAAAACCGCCGGGCCCTTGACCTGGTGGTGGCAAAATGTTATTACTACCACTCCCGCATCTACGAATTCCTGAATAAACTCGACGTGGTCAGGAGGTGGGGCGGACCCCGCGTGCTGGCTCCCCCTGAGCTTGGCCCCGCGCGCCCCGGTGAGCGGGGCTGTTTCTTTCCTCCTCCCGGACACGCTCTCTCCCTTTCCCGCAGCTTCCTGCACGCCCGGCTACGGACGGCCACGCTGCGCCACGATGCGGACGGGCAGGCCACCCTCCTGAACCTGCTGCTGAGGAACTATCTCCACTACAACCTCTATGACCAAGCAGAAAAGCTCGTCTCCAAGTCCGTGTTTCCCGAGCAGGCCAACAACAACGAGTGGGCTCGGTACCTCTATTACACAGGTGAGGCGCAGAGGGTCCCGCGCAGCGCTGGCAGCTCGGGCCGCACCCGAGATCGAGGGCTCTGGTTCCTCAGAGAACCTGTTTGAGCAGCTGGAGATGGGGCTTCCAGGCAGGATTGGAAGCTCCGTCCAGGTGGATCCGGTTGGATTCACTCGGTGGCTTTTCCAAACGCCTCCTGCCCCGTGTGAACGCAGGGCGCATCAAGGCCATCCAGCTGGAGTACTCGGAGGCACGGAGGACCATGACGAACGCCCTGCGGAAGGCACCGCAGCACACGGCCGTCGGCTTCAAGCAGACGGGGAGCGGGGACGGGGAAGCGCACGAGCGCTCGCGGGGTCCGGTACCTCCTGGGGTCCCCCAGGGAAGCTGCCTCCGGGGTCGGGCCCCGCCGGGGGGGACTCACGGCCTCTTTCTGCTCAAGGTGCACAAGCTGCTCATCGTGGTGGAACTGCTGCTCGGGGAGATCCCGGACAGGCTCCAGTTCAGACAACCCTCCCTCAAGCGGTCGCTCATGCCCTACTTCCTCCTGACTCAGGGTAGGACAGGCTGCTCCTGCCCGTGCTCCGTCCCTCTCCGGTCTCTGGGCACAACGTCCCAGGCTTCGAGGGAGCGGGAAGCCCTGGGTGGGGGAGCAGCGGGGGTTTCTCTCCCCTCCCCTTGGCGGGACCCAGCTGCAGACTCCACTCGGTGCCAGCCTTCAGCAGTCGCCGAAGGGCTGCCTTCCCCTGGCAGCTCCTAAGAGGAGGGGCCGGCCGGCCTGGGAGTCGGCCCTGCCTCGCGTTCCCCGCCGCCTCCCGGCCCTTGCTCCTTCCCCGGTTAACACGGTCTCTCCTCCAGCCGTCAGGACCGGGAACCTGGCCAAGTTCAACCAAGTCCTCGATCAGTTTGGGGACAAGTTCCAGGCCGACGGCACCTACACCCTGATCATTCGTCTGAGGCACAACGTCATCAAGACGGGTAGGAGACTGCCGCTGTGGTGTTCGGGGACCCCGTCGCGGCTGGTGCCACGGGCTTGGCGGGCCCGGGGCTGCCTGGCCCGGGGGGCTCCACTCCCGTTCCTCCCCCGCAGGTGTCCGTATGATCAGCCTCTCCTATTCCCGCATCTCCCTGGCCGATATTGCCCAGAAGCTGCAGCTGGACAGTCCGGAGGATGCGGAGTTCATTGTCGCCAAGGTAGCTGCCCACGACGTCCTGTCCCTCTGGGTCCTGGGCTGCCCACGGCCCCCGTTCCTCGCTCCCCTGCCAGGCTGCCTCTGCCCTGTCCCTGCAGCGCTCCCTCCCTGGGGCAGTCGCTGGGTTTAGGTTGAGGCCCCTCCGGGGGATGCTGGGGACGCTCAGGGCACCACGTCCCCTCTCTGTGCGCTGCGTCCTGAGCCCACCGCTCCTGTCGCAGCGGCCAGCTCCTCCCTTCACTCTAAACTGCTGCCTCAGCCCTCGGAGACAGCGGGTGCCCTGACCGCGTGCCCTCCGGCTTGCAGGCCATTCGGGACGGCGTGATCGAGGCCAGCATTAACCACGAGAAGGGCTACGTCCAGTCGAAGGAAATGATCGATATCTACTCCACCCGGGAGCCCCAGCTGGCGTTTCACCAGCGCATCTCTTTCTGCCTCGACATCCACAACATGTCCGTCAAGGTGAGCGCGGCGGGTCCCCGGGCGAGAGGCTGGCGGGGCCCGGCTGGAGAGGGCAGCGGGGCAGAGGTGAGGCGTCTCTCAGCTCAGAGCTTCTCCTCCCTTCTTTTTTTTTCCAGGCCATGAGGTTCCCACCCAAATCTTACAACAAGGACTTGGAATCTGCAGAGGTGAGATCTCATCTGGGTCTCTGCAGCCTGCTGCCAGAACCGGCTCGGGCTGCGGCTCCGCAGCCACCGAGGCCACGGGAAGGACGCGGCTCCTGTCCCCCAGCTGCCACCAACCTCTGCCTTTGCCTTCCAGGAGCGCCGGGAGCGCGAGCAGCAGGACCTGGAGTTCGCAAAGGAGATGGCAGAGGACGATGACGATGGTTTTCCGTGACCCTCTGGCCTGGCTCTATTTTTTTTTTTTTATTTGTCCCTAGGGAAGATGCTGTCTCAGCGGAGCTCCCTCTCGCAGCCCCCGTCCGCCTTTCTTTTATAAACGCCTGCATGTCTGTACGGTGGGAGGGGGACAGGGGGGTTCCCTGGGCCCGCAGCCGCAGGCCCTGCTCTGCCGCACCCCTGCCGCCCGCGGCGGGAACCCCCTTGCCCAATAAACAAACATTCTTTTAAGGTTGCTTGTGGTCACGGTCGTTGCTGCGCCCGGCGGAGG